GAGTTCTCTAAGTATACCATCATATCATCTGCAAAAAGCGATAGTTTTGTTTCCTCATTGACTATTTTTATTCCTTCAACATTCTCCTCCCCCATCTTATTGCTTTAGCTAGCATTTCTAGTACAATATTGAGTAATAATGGTGATAATGGACATCGTTGTTTCACCCTTGATATTATTAGAAAGGCTTCTAATTTATTCCCACCACTTGCTCTTGGTTTTTGATAGAGACTAGTTATTATTTTAAGAGATGCTCCATTTATTCCCATGCTTTCTAATGTTTTAAATGGGAATGTGTTGTATTTTGTCAAAAGCTTTTTCCGTATCTATTGAAATATCGTATGATTTTTGTTGTTTTTGTTATTGATATGGTCAATTATGTTTATAGTTTTCCTAATATTGAAACAGCCCTGCCTTCCTGGTAGAAATCCCACCTAATCATAGTGTATGATCTTTGTCATACATTGTTGTAATTTCCTTTCTGGTATTTTATTTAAAATTTTTGCAATAATACTAATTAGGGAAATTGTTCTATAGTTTTCTTTTTTCTTTTGCTGTCCCCAGTTTAGGCATCAAAACCATATTTGTGTCAGAGAAGGAATTTGGTAGAACTCCTTTACCTATTTTTTCAAACAGTTTCTATAGTATTGGAATTAATTGTTCTTTAAATGTTTGATAGAATTTGCTTGTAAATCTATCTGGTCCTGGGTTCCCTGGACCCCTCCTTTGGAAGCTTGTTCAATTTCGTTCTCTAATATTAGGTTATTTAAGTATTCTATTTCCTCTTCTGTTAATCTGAGCAATTTATATTTTTGTACATATTCATCCATTTCATTTAGATGGTCAATTTTACTGGCATATAGTTAGGCAAAATTGCTCCTAATAATTGCTTTAATGTCATCTTCATTGGTTGTGCATTCACATTTGTGATACTGGTAATTTCTTCTTTTAAAAAAATCAAATCAGTCAATGGTTTATTTTTTTTTTTCATGAAACCAGTTCCTAGTTTTATTAATTAGTTCAATTTCTTTTTGGTTTAACTTTCAATTTTATTAATCTCTCCTTTGATTTTTGAGATTTCTATTTTGATGTTTAGTTGGAGATTTTTGATTTGTTGTTTTTCTATATTTTTAGTTGCCTGATCAATTCATTGATCTGCTCTTTCTCTCTTTCATTGATGTCAGTATTGAGAGATTTAAATTTTTCCTTAAGTATTGCTTTGGCTGCATTCCACAAATTTTGGTATGTTGTCTCTTTTTGTTATTATCTTTGATGAAATTATTGTTTCTATAATTTGTTCCTGAGAGTTGAGAAAGGACTTCAGAATAAGATCTCACTCATTCTTTAGGATTAGATCATTTAGTTGCCAATTAATTTTTAATCTATGCTTCAGAGGCCCTTCACTGAATATCATTTTTATTGCATTATGGTCTAAAAAGGGTGTATTTAGTATTTCTGTTTTTCTACATTTGTTGGTGAGGTTTTTAATGGTCAAATACATAGTTACTTTTTGTGAAAGTGCCATGAACAGCTGAAAAATAGGTATACTTCTTTCTATTCTCATTATTTCCCAGATGTCAATCATATTTAATTTTCTAAAATTATATTCATCTGCTTAACTTTTTTCCTTTTTAATTTGTGGCTAGATTTATCTATGTCTGAGATGAGTAAGCTGAGATACCCAATAGTACATTTTAGACAATACTTTTATATACTGCATAGACAGTATAGTTTTACTGTTTATTTCCTCCTATAACTCACTTACCTTTTCAATTCTAGCTATTTGGTACATATATATTCAGTATTATTGATATTAATTCATTGTCTGCGGCATTTTATTTTTAGCAAAATGTAGTTTTTCTGGTTTTCTTTTTTAAGATTAGGTCTATTTTTACTTTTGCTTTGTCTGAGATAATGATTGCTACCCCTCCATTTTTTTAACTTTGGCTGAAGCATAATAGATTTTATTACAGCTTTTTAACTCTGTATCTTTCTGTTTCAAGTGTGTTTCTTGTAAACAACATATTGGATTCTGGTTTCTAATACACTCTGCTATCTTCTATTTTATGAGTTCATTCTATTCACATTCAATTATGATTACTGATTATGCATCTCTCTCCATCCTATTCTTTTGCAATTGTCCCTTTTTAAAATCCTGTCCCCTCCTTAAGAGTCTGTTTTGCTTCAGACCACTGCTATCCTTAATCTGCCCTCCCTCTTATTTGCCCCCCCCCCTTTTAGCCCCTTCTCTTCCAAGTTCCCTGTTGGGTAAGATGCATACCCAAGTATGCATGAGTGTATATTCTTCCCTTCTTGAACCAGTTCAGATGAGAGTGAATTTCAAGTTCTACCTGCTCCACCCCCCCCACTGTATACATTCTTCCTTGCATTCATTTATGAGATAATTTTCCCCATTCTTCCTCTCCCTTCTTCTTTTAGCATGTCCCATTTTCTCACCTTCCATCTTCTTTTGAGACCATCCCAACATGACTCACACCCATGCCTTCTAAGTAAACACCTACTAACTGCCTTACTGATGATAGTGCTCTTTGGGGTTACATGTATTATTTTCTCACATAGGAATGTAAACAGTTTAACCTTGTTTAGTCCCTTAAGATTTTTCACTCACGTTTATCTTTTTATGCTTCTCTTTAGTCTTGTGTTTGAATATCAAAATTTCTATTTAGCTCTAGTCTTTACATCAGGATTACTTGAAAGGCCTCAATTTCATTAAGTAACCATTTTTTTTTCCCCCCACGGAAGATTATACTCAGTTTTGATGGATAGGTCACTCTTGGTTGCAATCCTAGCTTCTTGCCTTTCAGAATATCATATTCCAAGCTCTCCACTCCTTGAAAATTGTAGCTGCTGAATTTTGTGTGAATTTTTTATGGGCTGCTTTCAGCATTTTTCTCCTTGACCTGGAAGCTCTGGATTTTGACAATAATATTCCTAAGAGTTTTCACTTTGAGATTTCTTTCAGGAGGTAACCAGTGGATTCTTTCAATTTCTGCTTTGCCATCTTGTTCTAAATATTTGAGAATTATTCCTTTATAATTTTTTGATGTACTTTTTTTGATTATGGCTTTCAGGTAATCCAGTAACCTCAAATGACCTCTCCTCCATCTATTCTCCAGGTCAGTTTAAAAAAAATTATATACATATATATATATATATATATATGCATATTTCACATCTTTTTTCTATCCTTTATGCCCATCTGCTGCATTCATGGCTCAATTTGAGGGCCTTTAAATTTTTGTTGTTTCCAATGTGGTGTCACTTCTACTGTGCAGAACTCTGGGCCACCCCTCATCCCATGTCTGTAGACCTATCTTCCTAAGCTGCTCTGGGCTGAAAATGACTAACTATTCCTTAACCTTCCCACTCAGAATTCAGTTTGGCACTTTTTTAGGTTGTTGAGGGAACGTATGGGGAGAATTTGGCACAAATGTTGGCTTCCACTCTGCCATCTCGACTCTTTTAACTCCACCCCCCCCATTCCCAATCCTATACTTGTGTAGTTGATTTTTTGTACATCAGTAGCAGACTTTACATCTATCCTTATTGAATTTCATCTTATAAGGTTCAGCTCACTGCTCAACCTATCAAAATCCTTTCGGAGCCTGAGCAGTCTGTTAGCTTTCCCTCCTAGCCTTGTGCCATGTGCAGATTTGATAAATATGATACCTGTGGCTTTATCCAAACCATCGATAAAAATGGTCATAGAACAGGGCCAACCAATGGATTCCTAGAGATACTCCACTGCAGATCTTTTGATATGGTGGTATTGAACCATAACTCTTGGAATCTGGCCAACTCACCAATTATAAATCCATCTATCACTTTATCCACATATTTCCATCTTTTCCACAAGAATAGCATATCTTTATCAATAGCTTTACTACAATCAAGTTAATTGTATCTAACATTCTCCTCATTGACCAAGTTAGAAATCCTACCAAAACACGGAATGAGGTTAGTCTGTTGTGACTACTTGTTGGGTATATTATAGTGGGGATTCCTTTTGTGAACAGATTGGATTAAGGTTCCTTTCAACTCCAAAATTCTGGGATTCTAAGAGTGAAATCATAAGGGTAGAGTTGCTTGGCTTTGGAGAGCAAAACCAGGAGCACCAGAGCTCATATCTCTACAGAGCTTTAAGGCTTGTAAATCACCATCATATACATTATCTCCTCGTCCTTAAAACTATCTTGTGAGATACTATCTGTATTATCTCCTTTCCGTGGCTTTGGAAGCTGAGGCTAAGGCCACAGAGCTAATATTTCAGCCAGAATCTGAGTCCACTTTCAGCCTTTCCATGACTTGAGTCCAAGGTTCTTCTTGCTACTTCCCATTGTTTACTGTTGTGTGTAATGGCAGAGAGTCCAATTTGGGCTCAGATTTTCTAACATTGGGAAAAAATTCCCAACACTTAGCTTAGTGTACAAGTATAAAGGGCAGCTTGCGGAGGTGCTGAGATCCCAAACACTGAAGTCTTCAAGTGGAATTTGCATGACCACTAGTAGAGATGTTTGTTGGAGAAGGGCTTTGTCTTAAGCCATGATCTCTGTTCTACCTCACTCCATGATTCAACCTGGGCTCAGCTGTCTTGGTATCACCACAAAGCAGGGTATTAAACTAAAAATTATTAAGTACTCATTATTCTGGCATGATGCCTTAGGATAGACTTGCTTCAGTATAATCAAAGTTCAGCACTGGAAATAAATGAACGAGTCGTTTTTAAAATATAGAAACTTAAGAACTAAGACTTCATAAATGACCAAGACTTGTCTTTATATAACATAAAAACTGAAGTATGGTGCTAACCTAGCCAAAAGGCAGCTTCCAAGACCAAATATTTATTTTGAAGATGGCAGTTCACTAACTTTCTGATTTAGCACTCCACCCCAAGTTGTGTTCCTACATTTTCCCTTAAGGTTTTTTCCCTCTTCACTCACCCTTCTTGGAAAGAAACAGGACAAAAGCAAAGAAAACATATGGAATTGTAAAACATTTCTTTATTCATGGCTTGTTTCCATTCCTCCGTTATGCCATCATTTACCTTATCAATAAACCTTCAAAGGTGGCTGAGTGTTGGCCCCAGTTTGCATACTGTCTGTTACACAAGGCCTCAACATCACAGATCTGGAGACTTGGCAATCACTGATAGTAAAGATGCTTTGTCATTTGCAGATGGCAAGGACACATGGTTGATGGTACCAGTGGTGTTCATGTGTACATGGAGGAGTAGCTTTAAACCAAATGAAAAGCCTAAACAACTATTTGGTTTGAAGAACAGCTCATTTGTCATTCCACATCTGCACCCTCAGTGATCAGTTTTTGCTGTGTAGCATGGGACTGAGTAGGAAGAGAGAAGGGGATAAAGAAAGTGATCTAGCAGGAGGCAGTGTCAGCAAAGCTCAATGTCTGTGGAGGAGGGGCAAGGATCAGTGTCTCAGATACACTCCTATGTTCCTAAGCGGGTCTAGACGTGGTCACACGTGGTACTGTGGACTAGAAAACTTGGGAGATTTGGACTCTTGTTCTGGATCTACAAACTTTCAATGAGACCTTGTGCAAATCCTATCACCTTTTCAAACCTCAATTTCTTCTCTAAAATGGAATAGATAATTGCAAAAGTTGGCTCTGGTTCTAGAAGTCCAAGATACCCATGCACTTCTGGGCCATCAAAGTCAACCATTTGGCTTTGATGCCTGTAACACTACAGTGGGTTCTCAACAATTCAACACTCAACCACCACTATGAATCAAATCCAAATGATTTGGCAAAGATAGCCTTAAGGAGTCTAAGATCTTAGACACAAGTTTATACTAATATTGCTCTTTCTAGAAGAAATTAGACCTGACTTACAGCTAGTTGAAATACAAGATGTTCCAAAAGTCTCTGTGCAGCTTCAAGCTATTAAAATTTAATACTTTTAATATATTAAAACTTTCATTATATTAAAAGTGTTAAACTTTAATAGCTTAAAACTGTACAGAGACTTTTGGAACACCCTGTACTATGATATAAAGCATTCTGCCTGACGTGGCAGTTCCCACTTAGAAGCAGTCAGTTGTAATCTCGGGGCTAAAATTCTACTCAGCCCACTTCATCTTAGGTAGGGCACCACTCTCCATGACGCTAGACTGACACTGTTCCTTTGCTCTCATTTTGCAGGATGTATAACAGCTCAAGCACCACACCCCAGTCCTGGGTTCTCTCCTTGCTTCCAGATTCTCCTTCCAAGGAACCTTTCATCTCTGGTGCCACCAAAGTCTTCCTCATTTCCTCGTTCAACAAATTAGACAGACACTAGTGAACTCTGCCAACACACCTTTCCTTGTACGCCCTACATTAATCTCTCAGGCTTTCCTTAAATATCCCCAACTTTGAAAAGGTCTTAATTCCTGCAGTCCATGTGGTAGTTGAGGACGGAAACAGTTTTTGGACATAATTTTTAAGACTTAAAAAATAATATTGGACCAACATATGAAAAAAGTAGATTTCAAAATCCTGATCTTACTACCTGTTCTAAGTTTATCCCTTTTCCCATAATGGGCAATACTGGTTTATTATAGAACCTAATTTCCTGGTTTCTTTTCATTCACACTGCTTGTATTTGGTCCTATGTACAACTTTTTTTTTTTTTTTAAAAAAGGTCTAAAAATACAAGTAGGGTAATGTTTTAATTTTCCTATAAAATAATATGTATGATTGAACTGGCTATGAAAATTGGGTGACTGTCCTTCTATGCCTAATTACCTCCTGAAATATTTCCTTTTTGGAAACATTTTTTGAGGGGGTAGGGGGTGAAAGGGGCAAGTTGGAAGACTCAGGGGAAAATGATGAGATGACTGGAACTCTAAATTGGAAGCATCAGGATCAGATATGTAAATGCCACTTAGAGGGTTCTCAGGCACAGCTCTGAGCTAGGAAGGCTATTCTAGAAAAAGTAGTTTTCAATATATCTCCAGAGAGACAGAAACTGACTGCTTTGTCCAGCTAGGCTCAACTTCTTAAAGCAGAGGAACTCTGGACTTCTCAAAGGCAAAAGTAATTGAGCATGGAGGAAGCAAGGACATGCAGTTTCTGTCATTTTAGTCCTCATAGATCAATTAGGGTAGCCAACGGTGATGACAACCAGAGAGAGAGCCACTTACCGGGCTTTACAATGTGGTTGCTTACATTTTTCAGTCTTAGGCAAGCTATTCTTCTCTTCCCTTGGAAAACCTAGGCTACCCTGATTAGATTCCTTTTAAAAAGGAAAAAAAAATATTATTCTATCTGGAAAGTCTTAGGCTAATGTGATACCTTTCATCAGGTATTACTGAATGTTCAGGTCATTTAAGAGACACCCTCTGATAAAATTTCAATTTAATGAATGCTTCTTTTTATCCACCTGAATTTAAAGTCATATTTCTCCCACCCACTCCTAGTATGAAGTGGATAAGTTTTAGTGATGTTTGTGCTTATAACCAGATTCACAGGTCCCTCTGGGTGGTAGAAATTGTGACTAGTACAGCAACAGTCAGTGCTGAGAAGACACAAACTCAAGGCATAAGAATTCTTTAAAAAAGTGATGATACTTTGGAAAACTGTTCATCATTTACATCAATTAAGTTCAGGGGACAAATGTCAAATAAAGAAAATTCCATTTCTACAGTTATTTTCGCTAATGCCAGGACTAAAAACAAGATTCTTGACATTTTCTAGCACTTTAAAAAGTGCACATATGATACAAAAAAGTTGGAATGAAAGAATATTAAACAAAAGTTCTTATACCATGGCATATGTGACTCTCCTTCAATTAAGAGCTCTTGTAACAAGATTTTGGTTATTTCTTTTCTCTTCTTGGACAATTCAAGAACTCGCTCCCTCTTCTAGGTCCATGAAGAGGCAAAGTTTAAAACAAGAGAGCCCCCATGCTGCCAACTTCACTCTGTTCCTTGACAAAAATTTCAAAGTATTGGTAAATGATGGTGACGGCAAGCAGGATTCCTGTTCCAGATCCAATAGCTCCAAGGAAATCTGCCAGGACTGAGAGGGCCCCAATGCACAGTCCACCAAACGCAGCAGCTGTGGGAATGTATCTAGAAGAAGAAGAAGTAGCAATTGGAAAAAAAAAAACCCTGACTTTTCTTGGTATTCACTGTCAACAATGTTGCCTTCCTTGATCTCATTAAAAAAAAAAAAATCCAGCACACAGCCCTTCCTTCTGCATTAGTTTTACATGGTTAATACTCAGCTGAATTCATCTCTATTCCCTATGCCACTGGATATGCTCGGATTGTGCAACAAAAAGTTTAGGGGGCCAGTGATGCCAAAGGCCTATTTTAGGTGCACTCTAAGACAATACATTAAAATAATAGCCCCCAATTTCATGTTGGAAAATCCATAAAAGGAAAATAATGAGTTATACCCTTCAAATACAGAAGTACAACTAGAGTCAATTAAATGCCAATGATGATCATGTATCAATGATCTGTGGTGGAATCACTGGATATCCGTCTACAGATGGGAGACCGAAACCTGTCCATGACTTCGTAACAATTTTTGAGTTACTCTGGCTGAAAAAAATTCATCAAATTTGCGGCCAACTTGGTGATGAACTTCTCTGAATTTAATTAAGTGAGTCCTTGGGTGACAGGAACACATTCCGTTATCGGGCTTACAAGCAAAAGCCTTTCCAGCGTGTTAAGATCAGCCGAAGCTCGTCATCCACTAGAAAAGCCTTCAAGAACGCAAGGTCACTTTCCAATCAAGATGGGATATGAGAGTGAAACGTTTTGGAGACTGTGTGATCATAGCTCAACTAAAAAAAAAACCACAGATGTACTACACACATACACACACACACACACACACACACACACACACACACACACACACACACACACACGTTCTGAATGGGAATATTGATATTATGTTAGAAGAGGTTACTCACCTATTTAGTTCATGGACCATGGAAGTTTCTCTGTGACCTCTCATCACCATCTGCTGTTCCTTTAGCTGTTTTGCAACCTACATGTCACCCATTACAGGAAAAAACTGATTAGCTTCATCCACAAATATAAAATCAAGGTAGGAAGCTTTAGTTTAGTGATCTGTTGTTCAGAATATTGTAAAAACAACAAAAAAACCTAATACAAACTCAAACTGCTATAGAGAAGTCAGATGACAAGTAACCATTTTATAAATCTCACTTCTACTACTAACCCAGTGTTTCGCTTTGGGCAAAGAGCTAAAATGTGATTCAGGTTATCTATTTTCACCTACCTGTAGTATTTGTATAACATAATGTTCATGGGCTCTTGGGAGCATCTAAGATGCTTGGACAGCAAACTACTTTTCTACACCCTAGTTAAAAATGAAATGCTATACACTTTACTGGTTGTACCTGCTACCGACTACCAAGTAAGATAAGGCCTTCAACTGATGTGTTAACAATTCTATTTCCACTTACATCTTTGGCTGAGGAGCCTGAGACTTCAATCCATGTTTTGGAAAAGAATGCGCATGAACCCAGCATGAATACTATGTATACAACTGCATGCACAGGGTCTTCCAACACAGAGCCAAAGGATTCTGGGGGTGACAGGTAATAGCAAAGGCCACCAACTGGATAAGCACGAGCTGGTCCCCCAGAAGAAGTATCCTAGAGACAATAAAAAGAAAGCAAGTTAATGTTATTCAGTTAAATCTTAATACTTAAACTTGTAGTCAAAACATTGTTCAGAACAGAGAAATATGGACTCTGATTTTTAGAAACATTTCCAAATTTCAATTACTGTGGGAGAAAAAAAAGTCTATCAGGATTTTCTCTTCCTCCCCTATTTAAAAGCACTGACTTTTCTTAGCAATATACTTAGGAAAGAATTATATGGGCTAAAATACTTGGCCATATACAACCACATATCCACTTAGAACGCTAAAAAGTCATTATTTTCAATGGGCAGGTAATCATAGAATATGTTGGAAGAGACATATACTTACAGACCAGGTGCCCAAGAGGCTAACCAATAAGTTGCCACTGAAGCGAGCGGACAACATCTGGGAAATGACGTACAGATTAGATACTAGAGCAGACTGAAGGATGATGGGAATGTTGGAAGTGTAGAAAAGCTTGATGGGATAGGTGTTGTACTGACCACGGTAACGTGCTGATTTGATGGGCAGGTCAACTCTGAAGCCCTATGGAGTCAAACAAAGCACATTTGTCCTTTACTATTTCATCTTCATATTACTATACACAACCATACGTGACTTGGAGGGCCTTTTGGCCAAGAGTTCCTTGTACTGCTGAGGGAAGAAGGAAGGAAAGGGGAATGAGGAGCAGAGGTAGCACTAAGGGCCTAGCACAGTGGCTTCACACACAACATCTTCTTTGACAATATGTTTATAATTAAAAGCTTGCCCCGAGGTCTCCTAGCTACTAGAAGAAGGGAACTGAAAGTTTACGCTTTTCCTTCACCATCTACTATAAAGCTACCACAGTATCACTCAATCATGGGATTTCAAAGCGAGAAGGAGCTGTTGTTGTTTTACTGATACGGAAAGGCAAGTTCAACTATTAGGGGCACATAGTAGTTAAGTGTCTTTCCACTGCCCCAGCCTGCAGCCTGTCATCACACTAAGAAGGGCTTGTGGGGCCTTTGAGAACCCCCTTCCAATCTCAGCGCAATGATATCTTACTAAGCCAGTTTTTTCTACTAATTGTCTCGATGTGTCCACCACAGTGTTACTCTGCATTTTCTCCCTATAGTTTAACAGATGCTGAATTTTTCGGTCTGTACCGCCTCCCTCCAAACTGTAAGCCCTTTAAGAACAGAGACTTTATCTTATAAAGTTTTTTTTTAACCTTCTCTCAATGTCTACAGTGCTCTGCAAACCAGGGTTCTTAATACATCATTGATGATGTTGTGACCAATACCTGCAAAGCCTTAAGCAACAAACCAAGGGGTCATCTCGCCATTATCACAAATCTAACTGCCAAAACCTCAGCAGGAGTGTCTGAATCAGGGAAAATTCTTCAGAAATAAATTCATAAACACAGACATACACACATGTGTACACATACATATAAATACATACAAACCAAATGTCAGGGTCTTAATTTGGTATATTAAAGAGCTGAAAGCTATGTCATAACACACAGTTTTTTACAATCCCTGAACTGATCAGCACCCCCTCCCCCCAATTTTGTCCCACTAAGGCAGCTGTACTTGATTTTATGATGTTTGCCTCCCTGCTTGGGCTATCAGTATCAAGTTCAAATTTTACTTAGGAACACATTTGATGTTTGTGTACAGATGTCAGTGTCTTAGCCACTGAAATTACTGACATTAAGAACATTGCATTTTAAAAAATCAATTACTGTGACAGGTGTGGAAAAACACTGTAACAAAGGTTTGTACTGTATCTCCAACCAAACGCTCTGCTTTCTCCTGTCTTATTCCTTGCTCTTTGTGTCAGAGACTTGACCCACACCTTAAGACTGGGATTGTTCTATAATCGAACAAAGGAAACCTGTTTCATCTTGATCACAATGTTTCATTCTCTCACCAAGCTTGCCGTCTGGTGGCACTTAGCTGGGTCAATGTTCCTCAACTAATTTTTAGCCTCATTCCCTTTAAGAGACTTCTGTAAACAAAATATGCAACTATAAAAATAGAGAAGCAAATCACACTGCAGAAATCAGTTCAGGATTCCTACTCATGAGGAGGTTGTAAAGTTGTAACTACAGAGTTAAGAGCATAGAAACAACCTACTTTAAGACAAAGATATTTCCCATCAACATTTTCCAAGTCCAGGCCAGGCTAAGTGTATACTTTTCCAGGAATTTTAAGAAGGTTTAATGTCAACTCCCAGAGAGCCTGACCTTTGTATTGTGAACACAGACTTGTCCGGGGTTGAAGTAGCCTCACAGATACCTAGTCCTGCTCCCTCGTTTCACAGCTAAGACAACTGAGTACAGGCTACGCCGGGGTTTCTTAAACTTCTTCCACTCGAGACTCCTTCAGCGCCTCATAAACTGTGGGCCGACCCCATATGGGTTTGAGACCCACAGCTGAAGAATCACCTGCTAAAGGTCACAAAGCTAGCTGGCAATAGTGAGTTACCAGAAACTATCCAGGCTTCCTGACCCTGGGATACCATGCTCTTTCTGTTTTATTTTTAGGAAAAGCAGCATGGTGAAGCTTAGGGTTTCCAATCCTCTGATTCAGCTGCATTAAGAGGTTCATCCCTGGATCTAATTCTGTTCTTGCTTTGTCACATGGTTCCTGATGGATATTCTTTTGCAGAACAAGGTAGGCACATTTAACTTACAACCGATGACAATCAATGATATTGCTACTCATTGACCTATGGCTCCACTCAGAATCCTTGTGATTTTTAGTTATAAGATGCCTAGGCCAGAGTTCCCTTCTCTGGCCATGAATCCTTTCTCCCTAGCCTCATTCCTATTGGCCCAATCTCTCTGGCGTTCTCACCCCATTCTACCTTACCCTTTCACTGTGACCCTTAGAACTCCTGTTGTTGTTCAGTCCTTTTGCAGTCATGTCCATGACCCGATTTGGGATTTTCTTGGCAAAGATACTGGAGTGGTTTGCCATTTTCTTCTCCAGTACATTTTACAGATGAGGAAACTGAGGTCAACAGGGTTAAGTGAGACTTACCCAGGGTCACACAGCCAGTAAGTGTCTGAAGCTGCATTTGAATTAAGGTCCTTCTGACTCCGGGGCTGGCCTTCTATCCACTGCATCACCTTGCTGACCCTAGAACTCCTATGCTCCCGTTAAACTGCCCTTTACCTCAGACTTCAATGGAAACTACTTTGTACTTACTATGGTATTTAACCTTCTGTGTACGTTTCTCCACAATGCAAGCTCCCTGAAGGCAAGGACTGCTTTGTTTTAGTACAGTGACTGGCACACAGTAAACACTTAATGTTTTATTGAATTTATTAATCTCATTCAGCTAAATGGGGGTGGGATGGGAGAAAGGGGAAGGGATAATCAGTCACATCTGTAACTGAAATAATCAAAAACTTGGTTCAATGACTGTATTTTTCACTTTTCAACCATTCAGACAATATGGAAATGCCTATTACATTATTTCTGGGTAATGATGAATTTGGAGTAGTGAGGGAACACACCAAATTTGGCACTAAATAAAGGACAAAAAGCTGACTTCCCCACATATGCCAAAATATTCATATCAGCTCGTTTTGTGATGGCAAAGAACTGAAAATTGAGATGATACCGATCAATTGGGGAATGGCTGAGCAAGTTGTGGTACATGAATGTAATGGAATACTATTGTGCTATAAGAAATGATGAGCAGGCAGACTTCAGAAAAAGCTGGAAAGACTTGTATGGTCTGATGCTGAGTGAAGTGAGCAGAACCAGGAGAACGTTGTACACCATAACAGCGATGTTGTGTGATGACTAATATTGGTAAACTTAACCCTTCTCAGCAATACAAGGATCTAAGACATCTCCAAAGGCCTCAGGATGGAAAATGCTATCCACAAAGAAGAAAGAACTATGGAGTTTCAATGCAGATTGAAGCATACTATTTGCTATTTTTTTCTTCTGTAGTGTTTTGTTTCCTCTTTCTGGTGGTTCCTCCTATTACTTCTAATTCTTACTTATAACATCACTAATGTAAAAATATGCCTAACAGAAACGTATTATGTATAGCCTATATCAGATTGTGTGCCGTCTTGGGGAGAGAAGTGGGAGAGAAAAATTTAAAACTCAAAAGCTTATGGAAGTGATTGTTGATAATTCAAAATAAATTCATAAAAAAAATTAAATTAAAAATAAGCTGACTTCATATTATTCTATATTAACCTGAGAAGTAGCAATGGCATTGGTGACAGGGAGCCCATCTTGAAAGCAGAAGACCTAGGTTTCAAGACCCACCTGAAAAGGACTGGTTTTGTGACTGGTTAAGTCACAGCTTCTAAGTGCTCTCAGGAAACTCTCTAAGACTACATAAGTTACAAAGCAGGTACAGATTTATATTGGAGTGAAATTTCTCATCATGAATTCCCTAAACCAAAGAAATCATATACCCCACCTGACTCCCTCTGACCTTACACAACCTTACACATCATCTAGATAAGTCCAATTTTGAATGAAATTCTTAGATTTCATTTGGAACACACTCATGAATGCACCATGAGAACTTGCAATTCAATCTAAGTACCCAAACAACTGGAATACCAAGAGAAGATTTGGACTAACCTGAAAATAGATAACGACTGCAAATACAAAGATGGTGGCGATCAGATTCATGAGGTTGGGGAGGTTTTGGCGGTAGAAAGCTTCTCGAAGGGCCCGAACTTTATCTGTTCGTGTAGCCAGCAGATGGAACAATGCAATGATGGCCCCTTCAAATTCCATACCTAATTAAGAAAGAGTAAGATAATGCATATTTTCCCCCCCAAAAATATTAATTGTATTTTATTCCTCTCCTAATTTTCATTCTTTCTGCTGATGTTTTGAGTTGCATGAACTGGAGCTGCTCTAGCCAAAGGAAAAACAGATTCCATTCTAAGATAATTCTCATATCGCCCAGAAGTCAGTTTTTTGCTTGTTGACCAAAAGGGTCTTGAATAGAAAAGTCAATTATAAAAATCCCCTTTTCAGAAAAGAAGAGGTTCCTTATCTCTAATCTTAGGTTAGAAATAGAAATTAACCTAAAAGGTCAATTTCAATCTCGTCTGAAGTTAATGGCTTAACACTGGACAAAACTACTTAAACACTTTAGAGTGCTTGTTACCACAGGATCACCAATCTATTTGATAAGGTTGGCCCCCTATATAAATGCTCCTGTGAATTATGTGCATGTTCATAATTCTGGAATAAAACAATTATCCCACTCTGGATATCTGACACTCAACTCTGTTGAACTGGGTGCTAGCTTATTTCCTTGAACACACAGCATTCCAAGAAATGTGAACTCAGTATATGGCATCAAGATATTAAATGGAAAACATCTACTTAAGTAACTTGTTACTTAAAGTAAGCCATATATACCACAGGAAAAAGTCTCATGGACTCAATGCTTCCTTTATTACTGAGACAAAGTTGCACATTATAGGTACATAATAATTATTTATTAATTTGATCTGACTGGGAATAATAAAGACTAGGTAACTGAACCACACTCATCTTTTTAGAGAACTGAATTACACACAGTCATTTCCTTCCTATAAGTCTCTTTGTTTCCTCTCCTCCTCAGCTTTCCAGCACCCCTCGTGAGAATGTAAGCACCTCAGTAAGGTTGGGGTTGTTCTCTTTGCTTTTATATGTACCCTTAGCACTGAGTAGAATCCTGGCACACAGTAAGCACTTAGTAAATGTTTTTTTAATCAATCTGTAATACCTATAGTATTCAACAAGTTTTACTGGCTAGCTCTTCTACAAAACTTATGTTTTCTTAACAACTCAAACTTTCTAATGTAGGAACTGAAAAAGGGAGCATACCACTTTAAGAAACTGCTAACCCAAAGTACTGAGGAATTTTTAGAAACATTCTGTCACCCAGTTTGTGTTTTCTCTAGGTCCCTGTATCATCTTATATTTTTCTAAAGGTTTAGTTGACTGAATCAATCAACAAGTGAATGATACCTAATCGAGGCACACTATCCCTAGAGAAGAGGATATTATGAAGCCCAGGGCCCTTCTTCTATGAAGTTTCAGAGAAGGGTATAGAACCGGCTTATTCAAACTTACACAACTATTTAGCATCTAAATAAAGCCCCTTCTATTATACAACGTCCTCCCAACCTTTCACAACTGAACTTTGCCCTATCCCCAACCTCCCCCCATATCTAATCTGTTACCAAGTCCTGTCGATTTTATCTTCATAACTCTCACAAGTGTCCCCTCCTCTGACACCCCCAACTTAGATCGATGTAACAGCTTGCTGCTGGCCGGGGTGGGGGAGAAGAAGGGCTCCCTGCCTCAGGTCTCTCCTTGGCTTCAGCACATCCTCTAATAAGCTGTGAAATTGGTCTTTACTGGCCCAACCACATCACTCCCTAGGGTCACGGATTCAGTGTAAATTCCTGTTCAGTTTTTCAAGCCTTTCATACCCTCGCTCCTTCTTACAACCAGCCCCCTCTACATACTCTACAACCCAATGACGCCGGCCACCCTGCTGATGTTCTCGGCCTCCTGGCTTCCTTTAAGTCTCAGTTAAAACCCCGCCTTCTGCGAGGCCCCTTTCCTGGTTCTCCGTGATGCTAACGCCTTTTCTTGGAGTCTGCCTCCAATCTGCCCGGGATACATTCTGCATGTACACAGCTGCCTGCACGTTGCAGACACCGGAGCTCCTTGAGAGGAGGGCCTGGCACAGAGGAGTCACTTAATAAATGCTGACTGACTACATGACTGTCCACTTCCGTTGCTTCCATTTTCTCCCCATCCATTCCCTCTTCTACTCTTGATGATCTGGCTCCCACTCTTCCACTGACATGCTGTCTTCAATGTAAGATGATTTTCTCCCGAACAAAATCAATCGTCTCTTATCAGGTCTCATCTATCCCATTTAGAGTTGATAATGCTGGCCACTATTCCATTAGAGGTGGAAGGGCCCAGGCCTGTCCCACACCCTCCGTCTGTGGGCAGCGCCTCCAGCCTTTGCTGTGGTGCTCACGCCTTACTCTGCCAGTTCAGTTCTCTAATCGTGCCCCCTCCCCCATATCCACTCTCCCATGACGGTTTCAGTGGCTGCTTGTAGACAGATGGCTCCCACATCTCTCTCCCCAGCCCTGACCTCACCTTCTCTTCAATCCAAGCCTTCAGCTAAAAAACCTTTCCTGCTGACACCTCGCTGACCCCCATCAGTGAGTGTGTCAAAAACCAAACTAGATCCCAAACTGGCTCCCCATCCCAGGGATCTTTGTGACCATAACAAGGCTGCCATCTTCCTGGTCCTTTGAGCTCCTCTTCTCCCTTCATTGAAGGCCCTGCCAGCTCTTCGTCGACCATCAACGTGTCCTGTGCTTCCTCCCTGCTCCCCGAGGCCCTCACCCCTTCACCTCTACTACAACTACTACAGCCTATCCCAAGCTGACCCTCCTCTCTTGCTTGCCCACTTCCACCCATTGCCTGGTTTTCTAGACCTTTCTTCTGTCCATTGCCTGCTCCAACTCCTTTCCTATCACTTCTCCAGTGTCATCCTGACATTGTGCCCCCTTTAGTTGGTAACACTAATATCACTGCTGTGAACGTAAGCTACTTCATGGCTTGGCACACGCGCCCCTTGTCTTCTAAAACATGCTACCTTTCCTGTACCTCCACCAATATCTGCCAATCTGCTTTGGAGCTCTTGAAAACTCATTTTTAAAATCCAGGAAGCATCTCCTCATTAGCAATTCCTGACCTTCATTTCTCCACTCAAGGCTTTCCTCAGTACACAATCTGCTTGGTAAAAAAAGGTTCATCTGTTTTATGTCTCACTAACTAGATTAGAAGCATTGTGAGTAAGGCAAGGATGGTGTCCCCAGCATTCAGTACACAACACACTTAAATGTTGACTATCTGCTTCCAATAGGATTCCATGGAGTTGATGAAACAGCTATGGTTACATACGGTTATTAAAATCTAATTGGTTTAAAGGTTTCCCTCTTGCAGCACTGAGAAATATTACTTGAAAAGTCCTCTACTTCAATGGAGATGATTTTAGCACTTGTCGTGGCGCACAAAGTACTTTCAATAGTGAAGACGATATGTAGAATGCACATTAGAAACAATTCAAGAGATGAAAAGCAAGAAAAATGGTGAACATTGGGCTTTTACCTCGGCCAGTGTTGACGGTGGTAGGACTGAATGCTTTCCACACAATGGTCTCACAGATGTTGGTAGCAATGAAGAGAGAGATACCAGAACCAAGACCATAACCTTTCTGCAGGAGCTCATCCAAAAGCAGGACAATTAATCCAGCAACAAAGAGCTAGAATGGTAAATGGAAAACAAAAATCAGGAGCAGATATCCCATATTACTCATCAAAGGCATTGTCTTGCCTCTCACTGCAATTAGGCTCCCGAGGCATCACCACTAAGGGATAAGATGAGGTCTTCCTGGCTCAGTGGATAACTGTCCTAAGAACTTCGTTCTCAGGTGTGTCTGAGGGCAAACAGAGGGCCTTCAGAGGTTCCCTCAGTGAGACGATCCCTTTCCTGTACTGTCTAGATTTGTTGTGTGGAAATGATGAGAGTGAAGGGTCACTTGGAAAGGAAGAAGGAAACTGCATTCTAGCAAATTAATTACCTGAATGGTGATCAGGAGGCAGATCCCAGCACCCATTTCAGAGGGGTCTCCATACATCCCAGTCATTACATACACAATAGACTGGCCAATGGTAATGATCATGCCGAACACTGTAAACCAAAGGAAGAGATCACAGTTCACAAGGGGAGTCAAGGAAGGTAGCAGCAACTCAAAAATTTAAATTAAGGCTACCAAACATCCCAATATCAGCTTTAAAGCATGCCATTAATGTGCATATTAAATCAAAGCTAGTAGAATGCCTTCTAAGAAATGCAATCCTAGTTCCTAGTTTAACTTTTGCTATTTGAGGGAATTAGTGAAGGAAAATAAATTAAACAACAGCACAGAAGTGCTTGGAAATTTCAAATCCTACAGAGAGCCCTGCTGTCACAGCAGTGAGGCAGCCTGCTTTAGAGCAAACAGCACTGGACTGGGAACCAGAAGAATGGGGGTCGATGGCTCTACCACTTATTAGCTTTGTGATCCTGGGCAATCATTCAACCTCTTTGTTTTCCCATCAGTTAAGTGGGACACTATATTATCTACCCTATGGGGCCAGGGATTAAAATGAAAACATTCGTGTAAATACTTTGTAACTATAAAATGTTATATAAACGAATGCTAGAATAAGCAGTTATATAGTGTTTAATGTGTACCAGGCATTATGCTAAGTGCTTTACAATTATTATCTCATTTGATCTCCTGCCCTGGAAAGTAGGTGCTGTTATCCCCATTTCACAGCTGAGGAAAGTGAAGCAGAGGCAAAGTGACGTGCCTAAGGTCACTCAGCCAGTACATATCTGAGGTCAAATTTGAACTCAGGTCTTCGTGACCCCAGTCTATTTGGGAAATCACTAACCTATGGCCAAAACGCTGACTCTTAGGTCATTTGGTAACTGGACAGCCCATAAGGCAGGCCTGAGGTTTCAACCCAAGCTTAATCACAAGCCAACTGGGCAGACTAATTTTTGGTACTGAATAAGGTGAATCCAGTTCATTCAAAGACTACTGAATAATGATAGGTTCAATATAATATGTTTTAAGGGAAAAAGCTTACTCTTTAAGAAACATCAACTTACTTTTCAAATTTCTCTTTTCTACGAAGTTATTTTTAACTTAATAGAAACTTTTTACTTTGAAGCCCATCTTCCCTTCGTGTACATCATTATACTTTCATTGTTAGAAATAATGGTACAGGGGCAGCTAGGTAGCGCAGTGGATGGAGCGCCCACCCTGAAGTCAGGAGGGCCTGAGTTCAAATCTGGCCTCAGACCAAACACTTGACATGTACTAGCTGTGTGACCCTGGGCAAGTCACTTAACCCCAACTGCCTTAAAAAAACAAAAAAACAATGGTACATTGTTGCTGCTTCCACAGTACTAGACAGATCACCAGATCTGTGGCTTCAATTCCAGACTATTTTATCCTGTGATTTCTTGTTTAATCCCAAAGTTCTAGTCAAGTACAATCCTAAATTTGGTCTTATTTGTAGCTTTGCTGCAGGGTTGTTTGCCTGGCACTGAACTCTTGAGGAAAGTGATGTAGAGAGGAACAGCAGCCATTTCAACAATGCTGATCAATAACAGCAGCTCAGTTTTATGGTACTTTACAGTCTACAAAGCATTTCTAGGGAAGCTGAGGTTGAGAGGTAGTGATTTTCTCATGGTCACCCACCTAGGAAGCATCACAGTCAAAACTTACACCTATCATTTTCTAACTCTAACTTCAGTGGTCAGTGTTCCATGATCAACTCAAGAAACCATTCAATGTTTCAATGCAATGATTCAGGCCTAATGTGTATGTATACTCTCAATCAGAATTTTAAAACTATGTGCTCACAGCTATATATTTTGAAAAGGCGCCATAGATTAAGATGGTAAACTTCCATCCATTAAGTGTACTACCTTATGCCACAGGAAGAGGTACCAAACCTTAGCTACTCATCTTTCTATCATTTAATACAGTATTATAAAAGTGAAACAGCTTGTGCGATCCACTGGTACAAAAACATATGCTGGCCCAACAATAGTACATATAATCTCTAACTGCCAATAACATTCCTGTCAATAACACAAGGTCAACACTAATGCTTTTGGTTATCGTTACTGATAACAGCCGGTGATAAAGCACACTGTAAATGAGCTACTCATGAGGACGTGGACAGTCTTTTTTGGCTTAAAGGAACTTTTTTTGCATAGCTAAAAAAAGAAAGAAGGAAACAAGCATTTATTAAGTGCCTACTATGTGCCAGGCACTATGCTAAGCACTTTACAAATATCTCATTTGATCCTCACAACAACCCTAGGAGGAAGGTGCTACTGTTATCCTCATTTTACATTTGAGGAAACCGAGGCAGCAGCTGTGATGTTACTTGTCCAAGGTCACAAAGCTAATAAGTATCTGAGACTGGTCTTTTTTGGGCAGCTAGGTGGTGCACTGGAGAGTGCTAGATATGGAGTCAGTAAGGCTCATCTCTGTGAGTTCAAATCTGGCCTCAGATACTTACTAGCTGTGTGACCCCGGGCAAGTCAATCACTCCAGTTTGCTTCAGTTCCTCATCTGTAAAACGAGCTAAAGAAGGAAACAGCAAACTACTCCAGTATCTTTGCCAAGAAAACCCCAAATGGCATCATGGGAGTTGGACACGGCTAAACAACAACAAAACCTCCTGACTCCGTGCTCATTACCCTATAAACAAACCAACCAACCCACCCCCCTTCTAGAAGTATAATGCCTCTAAGTGCTCCAAATCTAAACAGCAGATTTATCCACTTACATTCTATTAAGCTGCCAGGGAGTGTTTTGATGACAGGACTCAAGCATTAGAAGAGACTAAGGAGGTAAGTCTATCTTAAAGAAAAACATTGCTCTGACTGCTCAAACTTTTGTTTCCTATTGACTTTATGTTCTCAGAAACCTCAATGTCACCTACACTTCTGGGCGCCATTGAAAAGAGCACGGTCTTTCGGGGTGTCACCCACTTCAATGATCTTCGCCCCAGCCAGAAGCTGCATGATGAGGCCAGAGGTAACAATGGGAGATATCCCCAGCTCCATCAGCGTGCCTGCAAGACAACAGGGGAGATCAAACATTTTCTATTACCCAAGGATGTCAAATATGGACAAAGTGAACTGGTAAAGCTTGATTCATTTCTGTTCACCATAGTTATATAAATATAACATGTCGGGGTTGAAAATACATGAGTAACATCATTTAAATCCAAGCAAAAATAATGCTGAAATACTAACTATAAAGTCAAATCCAATTCATTCTGGAAATCCTGCCAGGCAATGTCTCATTCTGTTAAGAGAATCACATGGTCTCTAGGCAGACCCATGCATTTAAATTCACAACAGATTCATTCTGGTGTTGTTGAGATAAGAAAGGTTTACCTCTTCATCTGTTATTTAAAAGGATAACATTCAAATAGTTCCTAGAGACAGGGATGGGTGTCTATACAATTGTATATAGAATTGTGAATAAATCTCTACCTCCCATTATACTAAAGTGAGCTGTACCACCAACCGATACTGAACTATTTTTTTACAAACTAGTTAATCAAATACATCAGCAGGAATACAAAGCTACCCACCCAACTCCACCATATGTAACTGTAGAGATTACACACAAAAAATTGCCATAGATTTTAGACTCATATGCATAACCTACAGATATGAAAAAGATGCAGCTGAGAAACAAATTACACATTCTCTCTTGTGGGCCACCTTATCAAAAGGTGGAGAAGACAGGTAGGAATTTCATCGTTTTTCTTGTGCAGGCACATTTTAAAATCCATCCTGTTTCTCAGCATTTTTCCCCCTCTCATACATGGTCTTATCTTGTTATTACAAACTGCATACAAATGCAATCCAAAACAATTTAGTGCCTTAGTGTTGACTTAGGTATTTTATAAATGCAGTCAATGTGGCACATTGTTCCTTTATCCAGTGTATTCTCCCATCCATATTTTCCACAGAAAAAAGTTCAAATTTACAGCTAGATTCATCATCCACTGAACAGACAAAGCACGCAGAACTGGTTTGCTACCTCTATTAGAGGCCAAGATCACTCTCATCCAATAGAAAGGATCAGCTGAATCTGATGACATGATACCAAACAGGGGAATCTGGGGAAAGGCAAAGACAGGAAGAAGAGGTCAACACTTAGTCCCACCTCAACATCTCCCTCACCCCCCAAATAAAATCTTACCACCCTAAATATTAAAACTGAACTCACCTGGCAACATACTAAGAAGATAAAGAGCGTGATAGCAGTCCATAACACCTTCTCCTTAAACTGGATCTAGAGAAAAACAGAGTGAAAGGCTTTAATGAGCAGAAATATTTTTCATTTGTCACAGTAACCAATCCAGTGAAAATAAATGTAAATCAAATCCATTACTTTCTCCTTTAACATGACAAGACACAAATAAAACTTAAATATCCTAGACCAGGTCTGGAAATTGTTAATATTTTCAGGCTTAAAAGTTTTTAATCAGATCCACAATCCTAATATATTTGAATAGAAAATAATGAATAAAATGGACAAACATATATTTTTTTTTTAAACCAATAAAGCAACACCTAACAGGGTTATCCCAATTACAGTAAAAATGTGTTACATGAGGGCAACTAGGTGGTGCAGGTGATAGAACACCGGCCCTGGAGTCAGGAGGACCTGAGTTCAAATCCAGCCTCAGACACATAACACTTACTAGCTGTGTGACTCTCAGCAAGTCACTCAACCCAATATCCTCACCCTCCTCTCCTCAAAAAAAAAAAAAAAAAAAAAAAAAAAAAATTTACACTGAATTTGGCTAATTTTGAATTTTTGACAATTCAATCTGAATTGGCCCCATGCTTACATTTGTCCTATCTATGGAGGAAAAAAAGGTTTAAAATAAGCTAGTTAAAAATGGAAACAACTTTTTTTTTGGGGGGGGGGGAATGAAATGTTTTAACTTACTTGCAAAAGCAACTTTTGAGGACCTTATATCAGTCATTATTGTACAGACTGAATACAAATTAGTTTTTGTATTCATTAGGACCACTGCTTAGAAACATTATTATTAACAATCTACTAAGTGCCTATATGTACCTGAATAAAATTGTATTTTTCTAAAAATATTCTGATTTAGACTGACCTTTCCCTTTAGTCTATACTGATAACTTTTTTCTCCTTGTTAGGTTTAAATAGTTTTATATTAGTTCCAAGTGAAAATGCTTAAAAGGCTTGAGTCATTTAGTCTCTGGTTTATCATAGAGTTAACTACAGAATCATACTGCCTCCACTCATCTGGTAAGATATAATGATTTCTGTTAGTCTGTACTGTAGTATGTCCTTCTCCATCACCAGTTGAAATGCTACCTATACTTCCTGCACACTTAGTACCTAAATAGCCAAGCTCTGACTTAATTTATAGAGAATGGGCAGACCTTAAATTTAACGTTATAGGAGTACAGCCTCTTCCTGTTACTGAATCTGCCCCTCTCCCTTCTTTCCTTATGCCTCAATCCCACCAGAAGGCCTTAAATGTAAATTAGAGATAGGCAACAGGATTTCAGATTTGATAGGGTATCAAGCTTTTATTGAAATGGTTCCATATGGGGAGATTCTCATAAGGATTTCAACTTGAAAATGATAAATACCCTTAGAGCTAGAACTAAATTATACATCAGGTCAAAGCTTGATTGAGAGGCAAATTATGGATAATTTATGCCCTGTGTCACCCTTCCATTTTGGCCATTTCAAGCCTTTTAGAATCTCCACAATAAAGCAATCATAAAAAGAAATGAAATCCAATAGCCATTTTACTACACGTTAGAAACTCTGGAATAAGGGTTAGTGATGAAAGAGATTTAACTATTAGTTAAAACGACTTCTGAATTACCTATGGATTTTAATTATTTGTGCAATTTTCATCCCAATGAAAGATGGCTATGATTAGGAATGAAAAGAAAATTAGACTTCAGTTATTTGGATAAGTGAAGTAAATGAAATAACTCATTCACTAAGTCAAACAATACAGCATGTTAATCACAACTCCCATTTACACAGCATTGAGGTAGCATGAGGCAACACCAATTATTACTCCCACTTAGATAAGAAAACTTCAGCCAAGAGAGGTGAAAGGCAGGACTTGGCCATAACCACTAAGTGTCAAAAGGGAGAATGAAAACTCACTCAGGGGTCCTGACTTTTCAGGTCAGAGGTTTTGCTTGGATTAAGCCAGAAAATCTGGGTTGGAATCCCATCTCTGGTATTAGCTACACTGATCAGTCACTTAGCCTTTCTGGAATTCAGGTTCCTCTGTACCCATCTCCTCAAGGTAAGATCAGTCAAGTTACTTGGCCAACTTTAAAGTGCTACATAATCAATCAGTACACATTTATTAAGCAACTACTATGTGGCAGGCACTGTACTAAGCACTGAGGATACTAACGGAGGCAAAAAAAAGTCCCTGCGCCTCAAGAAGCTTACAATTAATGGGGAAGACAGCATACAAACAAACATATATAAAACAAGGTATATATAGTATAGGTAATAATTAATGGAGGAAAAGCAATGGAATTTAAAAGGGAAGGCTTCCTGTCTAAAGTGGGATTTTAGTTGGGACTTAAGGGTAAGGGTAGGGGGCAGGGAGGGGGAGAGAGTACTCAGAGCTGAGGAAGAAGAGCATTCCAGACATGGGGGGGGGGGGGTCAGCCAGTGACAAGAGACGGAGTGTCTTGTTTGTGGAACAGCAGGAGGACAGTATTACTGGATCAAAGAGTATGTGCTGGGGAGGAGTAAGGTGTAAGCAGACTGGAAAGGTAGGAGGGGGCTAGATTATAAAGGGCTTTGAATGCCAAACAGAGCATTTTATATTTGATCCTCCAGTGAGGCTCCAGGGAGCCACCGGAGTTTACTGAGTTGAGGAGCGCTATGATTGGACCTGTGTTTTTAGGAAAATCACTTCAGTGGCTGAATGGAGGATGGACTAGAGACCTGAGGCAGGCAGACCCATGAGCACCTATTGAAACAGTCCATGTGTGAGGGGATGAAGGCCCACACCAGGGAGGGGTGGCAGTGAAAGAGGAGAGAAGAGGGAATATTTGAGAGTTAATGCAAAAGTTAAATTCACAGGCCTTGGCAACAGCTTGTTTATGGGAGGTGAGAGATAGTGAGGAGTGCAGGATGACTCCTAGATAGTGAGCCTGAGGGCCGGGGAGAATGGTGTTGCCCTCTGCATAGGGAAGGTAGGAAAGGGGAAGGTGGAGGGGAAAAGATGAATTGTTTTGGTCATGATGAGTTTAATAAAGACATTCAGTTCAAGATGTCTGAATAAAAATGTCTATTACTATTATCTGTACTACATCACGCTGCTTTAGAGTGTCACAAACTTGTGGCTCTTCACGTCTTCCTGGGTTTATGGCCCTCAAAGATCCACTCTCAACGATTTCCATTTTTATAATGAAATGATCTCCTAAATGTGCATTGGAATATGGAAACTGGTCAAGTAGCCTATGGGTATATTATTAACATGATAAAATACTAAAAATGATAGCGTATGTGAACTTTGTCAATACATGAAAATATGTGTGCAAAATAAGAGTAAGTGCACTTTACACACACTGATCACAACTATGTAAAAAGATACAGCAACAAAGATGGGGCACAGACTATTAACCACATAATTTTGAATTTAATGCTTATTAGGCTTTTTCTGTAATGTCACTTAAAACCAAGAAACTTATGACATCTTTGCTTAGAATCAAAGCTTTAAGGCATAGAATTGAACTATAAAACTAAGTTCTGACAAAATCACTACAATTTTAAGGTTAGTGCCTCATTTCTTTCCACTAGAAAATGAGGCAGCAGAGTTGAGGAAGGCATTCAGATTGGATTTCTGAAACTTTAACAGCTCATCCACGCTAAAGTAATCACCATGACTCTGTACTGTTCTCAAAGACCTCTTGCTGACCACTATCTTAACTTGTTCTTTACTGTCCGCCACTACAAAGATTCTCTGCTGACCACTAGCACTACTCTTTCTTTACTGTTCTCCGAGACCCTCTGCTGACCACTACCATAACTCATTCTTTACTATTCTCCACTACAAAGACCCTCTGCCCACCACTACCATGACTCTTTCTTTATCATCCTCCAATACTCTACCTACTCTATGCTTTCCTCCATTTTACGAGGGAAGGCAAACAGCAATAGAGGGTGAAGTTGTAAGCTCGGGCAGGTCAAAGACTAGGACTATCGGCGCATCTGAAGCAGACTTCCAGGTCCCTGCTCCTCCAGCCTAGGCTGGAATCGTTCCCTGTCCGAGGCCAAACCCACCGGAGCCTTTTTCAATCCCCTCCGCGGATGCCAGACTCTTCCAGCAGAAGGGAGCCCGATCCAACTTCCTAGCAAGTTCGGAACCTCAACCCACCCCAACCCCCCGCCCGCGGCTGGGGGAGGGGCGCAGCGGGCAGAGGCCCCGAGCTGAGGACCCCTCCTGCCCCGGCTGCCCGGGGGGGCACCTACCTTCCTTTCGGGCTTCTGGATCTCGGGGAGGATGACGCAGAAGGGCTTGATGACTTCCAGAAACTTAACTGCAGGAGGGAAAAGAGACAGCGAGAGTTAGAGCGGCGGCCCCCAGGGAGCGAGCCCCGCGGGGCGCCGGGTGCGAGGGTGGGGGTGGGGCCGAAGGGGAGCTGGGCCTCGGGGCGCGCAGGCCGGCCGGGCCGCCCCGGGGGGAGGCCGCCTGGGGGACCCCGCCTCGGTACTCACTGCCCATGGCGGCGGCGCCGGGTGCTCGAGCTCCGGGGAGGCGACGGGGGCCGCGGCCGAGCCCGCGAGCGGTGCGGCTCAGCCGGCGGGAGACGGAGGCAGAGAGCGCGAGGCAGAAAGAGACACGTCAGTAGTAACGCCGCTCCCTCCGAGCTGGGCGGGGCGGGAAGGGAAGTGAAGGCAGCCGACGGCCGCGGGGGCGGGAGGGAGCGAGAGGGGCGGAGGCGTCGGCGGTGGGAGGCCCTTCCGCTTCCTGCCACGCACGGGGCAACCGGCCACACTACAGCTCCCGGCATGCCGTGGGGCCCCCCTCCGGAGCGGGGAGGCTGGGAGGACGCGCCGCTGCGCCAGAGAGCGCGTGCGCGCGCGCGTTGCAGGATGGGACTTGTAGGCTAGGGCGGGCCTTGTCCGCCTTCCTCAAGGGGGTGTTGCTGGGATGCGAGGCTGCAGGAGGGAAGGCTTAGGAGCCAAGGTCATAGTTGAGAGATCTTAGGGGTGGTTTACTGCATCCTCTCACCGGAAAAATAAACCATCACCCAGCATCGGGGGAGAGGAAACGAAATGTGCTTGTGGGGGGAATCCCTGAAAAGGACATTCATTCTTTCAAAGCTTCACCAGAATCAGGGGGAAGAAATGAAATGTGCATTTTTTGGAATCCCTAGAAAGGACATTGATTCATTCATTCATTCACGAGTATTTATTAAGCCTGTACCAGGCACTGTGCTACTCACTGAAGACCTGAAGATAAAATCCAAACGGTCTTTGAGGTCAAGGAGGTTACATTCCACTACAACGTAGTGTAGTGCCATTACAGGGCTATAACCGGATAATAGATTCAGAGTTGGAAATAACCTCAGAGCTCAAGTACAGTATAAGTGAAAACAAAATACACCCCCAAATAAATAGACAAAGTCATTGTTAGGAGATCTAGAAAGGTTTCCTTCAAGGAGGAAGGTCCTGAGCTGAGACTTGAAGGGAGGTGGGCATGGCAAAGGCACGCAAGCTGGTGGTATGCAGCCAATAAGCCATTTTGGGTGCAGCACAGAGTGTGCATTGGAGAATAATGTGGAAATGAGCCTCAAAAGATAGGTTGGAGCTGGAATGGAAAGGGCTTTAAATGCTGAACGGGTGGGGGGGATTGATTTTTTTGGGGGGGCTGGCAATGGGGTTAAGTGACTTGCCCAGGGTCACACAGCTAGTTGCATTATATGTCTGAGGCGGGATTTGAACTCAGGTCCTCCTGAATCCAGGGCTGGTGCTCCATCCACTGCGCCACCTAGCTGCCCCCGAGATTGAATTTTATCTTACAAATATTGATTGACTCAAGTTTCTAGAGCCAGAAAGTGATACGGTTAAGCTTAAGCTTTTAACAATATCACCAGTGTGGAGGATGGATTGGGGAGGGAAGAGAGAGGTAACAGAGAGACCAATTAGGAAGCTATTGCAATAGTCTAGGACAGAGGGGATGAGTAGGCTGGTAGCTGTGTTTGTAGAAAGGAGGGGACAGATGAAAGAAAGGTTGTAAAGGCAAATCTGATAAGACTTGGCAGCTTACTAGATATGGGGGAGAGAGAGGAAGGAGTCAAAGATGGTCCCAAGACTATGAACCGGGGGGACTGGAAGGATAGGGAGCCCCTGACAGAAGTAGGGAAAGTATGGAGGAGAGAGCTTTCTATGGGGGGAAAGATAATGACTTTCCTTTTGGGCATGTCAAATCTGAGATGTCTGTGGGACATCCAAGTAGAGATGGTATAGTGGGAGTGGAACCCAGATGAGGTTGAGAGTGAGATACGGAGGCTTGATCGTTGCTACTTAGAGATGGTGATTGAACCCTCGAGAACTGATGAAACCACCAAGAAGAAGATTATATAGAGGGAAGAGGGCCCCAGCTGAGCCTTGGGGAAAATGCCTTTGCTAATGGGGCAACAGCATGTATGAGGAGTTCTTAACCTGGAGTCTGTTAACTTGTTTTTAAAAATACTTTGATAATTATATTTCAATATAATTGGTTTTCTGTATAATCTTCTGGGTTTTTTTTTTTTTTAAAGACTGGATTTCTTTTTCTTAGCCAGGCTGGAAGTTAGGCTTGATCCCACCTGCTGATCAGTCACTATATTAATGCTAAACTTGGTGCTGACACCCAAATGGCTTAACTCACTTCAGTTCAGAACTCCCTAGCTCGAGATAGCCTCAAACTCCTTAGTAACTGGGGTTACAGGCTTGCCCTACCGTGCTCAGCGTCCTAATTATTTTACTTAATAAATTAAAAACATTATTCAGAGAAGGGCTTTTTTTTTTCCGTTTAAGCACACTGCCACGACACCAAAAAAAAAAAAAAGGGGGTAAGATTCCTTGATATAGGGGGTGATTCTGCAAAGGAGACTGTGAAGGAGTAATCAAGCAGGACAGAGGAGAACCAGGAGAAAACCGTGGCCCCAAAGTCCTAATGAGATTCTGTGTAGGAAGAGGAGGGATCAGATGCTATAGAGAGGTCAAGAACCATGAGAACTGAGAAAAGTGAGAAAAGATTGGATTTGGCCATTGAGAGCGATATTTGAGGTGGAATGAGATTGTGTAAAAAGTATCAGGCTTGGAGTTGGGAGAGATGTAGGCTTAAATCCTGCCCCTCTAACTCGTTGACTCAGTGAATACCGGCCAGACACTTAAGCTTTCTGTCTCAATTTCCTCAGCTCTAAAATTAAGATAAAGATACCTAGATGGCCTACCTCTGAGGGTAACAGTGAAAATTAAATGAGATAACAGATGTAAAGTGCTTCCTATACTTGAACGTACTATGTAAACATCAGCTATTATTATTATTATTATTATTAACAATAGCATGTTCCTATAGCTCCTTAAGGTTTACAAAAGTGCTTTTCTTGTGAAGGTGATGTGTACTGAGTGGTATTGAAAAAAGAACACTGGTTCACTTGTGTCTGACTCTTTGTGACTCCATTTGGGGTTTTCTTGGTAAAGATACTAGAGTGGTTTGTCATTTCCTTCTCTAGCTCATTTTACAGATGAGGAAACGGAGGCAAGCAGGGTGAAACTGACTTGCCCAGGGTAAGTGTCTGAGGCTATATTTGAACTCAAGAAGAGGAGTCTTCCTGACTCTAGGCCTGGTGCTGTGTGTGCTGTGGAGTCACCTAGCTGCCCCAAAAGAACCCTGGACTTGGAGTCAAAAGATCTGGGCTGGAATTTGTGAGCAGGTTACTTTCCCTCTCATCCCCTGGTTCCTTCATTTGGAAAATCTGTAAAATGACACAGGTTAAACTAGAAGTTGGGGGAGACAATATGCAAACAGATATATGCAAAGAAAGCTATGTACAGGATAAATAGGGAGTAATTAACAGAAGGAAAGCACTGGAATTGAGGCAGGTTGGGAAAGGCTTCCTGTGGAAGGTAGGATTTTAGTTGGGACTTAATGGAGGCCAGGGAGATCAGTGCTTGGAGAGGAGAAGCATTCCAGGCATGGGGGACAGCCGGAGAACATGTCCTGAGTGGGAGACAGAATGTCTTGTTTGTGCAATAACCAGGCAGCCATTGTCACTGGAATGAAGAGTACATGTTGGGGACTGAGGTGTAAGAAGACTGGAAAGGTGGGAGGGAGCTTGCTTATAAAGGGCTTTGAATGCCAAACAGAGCATTTTGTATTTGATCCTGGAGGCAATAGGAAGCCTTTGAGGTTATACATAAGGATTCCTACAGGCTGCCTATAGAATTAGTTTTAAAATGCTATGTTATCTATGTTTTACTGTATTTTTTATGTACTTTGTTCAATATTTCCCAATTTTATTTTAGTCTGGTTTAGGCTGTACTCAGAAATGTTGAGGGTATATATTCTGAGGGAGGTGCGCTTGGGGCCTCTGTTATGGGTGACACAGAGCAGTTGCCAGGAGGTACTGTTGAGGAAGCTTCCTCCTCCACATTTCCCTTTACCAATGAAATCACAAATCCAGTCCAAAATATATGTATATATGTGTATGTATATATATATGTATATATGTGTGTGTGTGTGTATATATGTATACATGTAAGAAATAGTTTCACAGGAGCTCATTTCCAGTTATTCCATTCCCCCAAGGACCCTCCTGGTTTGAGGATAATATCAGCGATTCCTTTTGGGTGGTCATCAATAAACATTTGAGTGTAGCACACTCTGGGCTCATTCCCCCAACTCAAACTTATAGGTTGAACCCCTATAGATGGATCTCAGATTCTAGGAGTAACCTTATATATACGATTATGTCTAACATGGTAACTTCTGAGTCCCCATCAGTGTGTTTTCCATGAACAGACAGTAAATACAGGTCTTAGTGAAGCCATTTACTCAAATGGCTTAGCGAGACATCACAGGGCATTTCTCCCTACACTTAAGGTACACTTTTCCTAAATACACATAGAGTCTATGGGTGGTGGTAGATTGTGGTACATACTTATAGTATAATGGTAGTTAGTGAGGTACAGGTGTAGGAAACACATGTAACTGTGGCCACTCAGAATTCTGGAGCTGTAATGCCTTGATATCTTTTCTTTCTCTGAAGAATTCACATGAAGATCATTTCATGTGGGGAGTGGTGTTGTTGATGGACAGGTTGATTTGCTGCTCGGCCTGTCTTAGGGCACAGCATCTTTGTTTGACGTGTTGGGCTGGATAGATTGCTTGGTCACTGGGTTGGCCCCCTGCGGACTGGGGCTGCTCTGCTGTATAGATCAATCTGTTGGATTTTCTTGGCTTTCTCTCTGATGGGCAGCTGCAGCCTCTACCACCCATAGCCTCAGGCTCAGCTGGGTGGTATTCCATCTTTTCTGAGTGCTACTGTGCTCTTTCAGAAGGAGCAGAGATCCTTAGCCTAAGGAGTGGCAGAAGCCTCTCCCCTTTCTACTCCCTCAGGGTTTTATTCATTTATTTAAAAAATTATTTTATTTTTAATTCACGGAATAAAACAAGCATTTCCATAATATAATACAATGAAAAAGATGATTGCCCGTGAAACTGCAGATCTACTACGTACAACTTGCTATTCTCTCCAAATATACAACAAACTTATGTAAATTTCTTCCTGTCCCCACTCCCCCAGAAGGCTACCATTATGTAAAATTATTCTATATGTACTTCTATTTCT